GCAAGTACACTCTTGTGGGTAGCCGAGCGAGTGTCTGGCTTGTCCCGGGGTGGTTCGAGGGTCACATACTCCAGGAAGTCGCCAAAGGACGCAAAGTGGTCGGATATGGCTTCGAGGACGACATCCAAGTGCTCAGAACGCGTCAGGTAGGTTCTTCGCATTGGACCAGTTTGCGGAAGTTCATTGTACAAAGTGCGAAGCTGGATTGGGCTCGCAAGGTCGGGCAAATGGGCAGCAGGTGGGGTAGAAACTGTCGATTGGGTACTTGTACTGAATAAACTATCGAGTGGTGGAGCTGGGGGGCAGTGGGAAGCAACTGGGGATATGGGAATCGATGCAGCAGCTTGTATATCCGCGAGTGTGGGGACGTCCTTGTCGGTAAGCCAGGGTTTTCGAGGACGTCCTGTACGACCACCGGCCATGACGAGGTTTGACGCGCGCCAGAGGTTGCAAAAAACGAAGAAGACGCGTCGAAAACGCGTCGTGTTGGTGGTAGGAAGGCAAAAAGACAAAAATAGACTGTGATCGGACGCGACAATTTACGTAATTTGGGGGCGTACACCAAACTAGGGCGCGATTACTGACAGACTACATACAAGTACTTAGCGAAGCCCGTCACTTGATCGTTGGCTGTTTATAAGAGACTATATTTCCAGTGAGTAAATTACCTTTCCCCCTTTGTCCAGGGTTTCAGACCCGCGGCAATGGTCACGCCCCTGTAGTTTAATGGTTATGACGCCGGACTTCTACCCTTCTCTTCGTAGTGTATCCGGAGGCTGCGGGTTCGAGTCCCGCCAGGGGTTTGCAAATGTGATATCTTTTCACTCTAGCAAAAGAATGTGATGTGCCCATTTTGTTTTGCCCCCGAGTTTGAGCAGTTTACAATCGGGACTGGTTAATTCAAAGAGATATAAGCTACAGGCATTGCACGAGAGGATGGAATGTTTGAACTGGCATGAAGCACGACTTGGAGTCAACAAACTCATCACCTACACAGTTGTCCGTTTTTAACGACGCAGTCAGCTGTTAAATGCAGTCGCTTATTTCTAAGCGCGATCAGGACAACGCAAAATGTGCAGATTCAAGGGGCGGACGTCATACGGAGGCTCCTTCGCCTCCACTGATAATTGATTTACATGGTCTTTCAAGCGCTCTGTGTTTTTTCACCCTTTGATCAGGACATGGACATCTTTTTTCTCTCGCGGCGTGGGGGACAGGTAGCAATCGAGGAGCGCACATACACATACAGTCCTTTGACGTAAAGAGAATAGGCGTCGCGAGGTGCGTGTGACTTTTCATCTGACGTGCAGTTCCTATTTCTACGCAATACCAGGAATACCGCGCGAGAACGAAATCAAGAATCTATTATGCGAGGAACGAGACTAGGAATCCGCGCGAGAACACGAATTTAAATTAGGAATACCGAGCGAGAACGATACTAGGAATCCGCGCGAGAACGAGATTAGGAATGCGACGCTTCCTTTCGCTCTTTGACCTCTGCGACCTCCTCCCCTTCTCTTCCCTCCCCGCTCGGCCGCGTGGAAGGGTGAGGGAAGGAGGAGGGAGGAGGGAAATCAGCGTCGCGCTCCCCACTCTCTCTCTCTCGCTTCCTCTGCATCGTGAGCGCAGGGGAGAAGAGGGAGGAGAGGGAGGGAGGAGGGGGGAGGAGACCACCGCATCCGCACTGTCCACACCGCTTCATCTCTGATTGAGTCCTAAACACGAGGAAGATGCGGGTGCGCGACGTTCTTTTGAAATTGGACTCTGCAGGCGATGAGTCGGTCGGGGTTGAGTGGACACGAAGAACGACATCATCGCTTTGTTGGAAGTGGGGATTGTAAGTGCCGTTGAAGGGCGAAGAACGATGAAGGGAGGTAGAGCACGAACGAAGGTGAATAGATATCACCACCAGGGAAAAGATGTGTCTAAGCTGCAAGACACACGCGTACCTCGTCGTACTCCCGGATATGTCCACACCCTACACACCTCGCTGCTAAACCTCGACTTTGACCTTCTTCAACTTCTTGCCTATACTACATGTCCTAGTGCGCTTGGGTTCCTCGTATTAATACTGGGCTGCGCTGAGTCCGTGCGAGAGGTATAACTTTTCGCGAGGATATCGATACCGCTGTACGTTCCGAAGAGTCGCCTGGGATCATGGTGGTGGTTCGGAATCAGAAGCCGAATCACGATCGGCATGGTAGTTTTTGATCGCTCACCTCCAAGTTCAAACTCTTCGACGACTTACGCTTCCACTGCACTTTGCTTGCTACCACTTCGTCGTTGACTATCTTCTCTACTATGACGACTGTAGATCTAAATTGGTCTTTCCTCTTTGCGACAAGTACTAATTATAAGTCGTTCTCTGCAGAGATTGTCGACTTGACCCCTGAAGAGCTCGAGACAGCCTGGGATACTTGAGCGACCGTGAGCTGCTTCCATATCGCATAGATCTATCTCTCAAAGTTGTTCTTTCTATTTTGTAGGTGTGGCGCTTGGTGTCAAGAAGAGGGTTGACTAGTACGTCTTGGCCAACCCCCAACGTCTGGGGCTGTACGTTTCTTCTCTTTGCTGGTGCGATGCAGACACTTGAAAATTCTTTTTCGTTCCAGTCGCTACGGTTTTTATGGTCCGTCGGAACCCGCCCCCAGGCGGCTGCCATTCGAAAGACCGTCAGCAACACCAACACATCATCCTCGCTGCGCAGCACGAACTCGCAGGCCCCTCACAGAAGTCACACGCCCAACATCATCAGCCAGTATGAAATGAACTTTTACTATCATACCATGGCATCTCCGGCAGCCCTTCCTCCGCTCCAACTACGAGGTACAACCCCCTTCCCCGTGCGCCCGCTTCTTCTCTCTCCCTGTCAAGTACGATACATGGTGTCGTTGATACACCGTCTGGCACACCGTTGCGCGCCCGCAATCGTGGGCATGTTTCAAATCTCGCGGCCTCATTGAAGTACTCAGCCGGTTCGTTTCGAGGACGACAAGGAGGAGCAACTTGGGGTCCCCGTCGTGGTCTGGATCGGTGTCCCGTTGACCAAGTCCGCTGACGCTTCTGCCGTGCGCGACGCGACTCCCGACATTATTTCGCATTCTCGCTGACGCGCAGATCACCGATGTGATCGTCGAATGGTATAAAGGGGACATTGAGAGGTTTTCTGGCCCGCCATTGATGAGCGTGGAGGACACCACCAGTCCTGCGTTTGGTCTCAACCATCCTTTCAATGTGGGGCTTGGAGTTCCTATCGCTAGGCAATCCGACGGTGCGGAGGGTACGGTTGCTTTCTTTTTTCGTGAGGTTCAGACTAAGGACGGGAAGCCGAGTGATAGGATTCTTGGTGTTACCACCAAATATGTCGCCTCTCTCGACACAACGACTCCCTACGAGTTTGGCGGGACCGACCCGCAGTACATTCTCGTCTGCGGTCACCGCCAATTCGCTATTGCCGTTGCAAAAATCGAGGAAAAGATAGATCACTGCTTACGCGATATAGTAAGACTTGACGAAGAGTGGGGGCTTGCGGAAAACAAGCTGGGGTCGGGTGAGGCCAGGCACCTGGAACGCATAAAGACTGCATTGGAGGATAAGATGGTTGATAGCGAGACGCTCAAGGCGCTCTTGGACCAAGTCGAGGCTGAGTGGCAAGATCCTGACGCTCACAGGCTCGGTGTGGTCGACTGGGCCCCCGAGATCTCCGTTGGGACTGGTGACCGCCCCTACACTTGTGATATCGCCACCTTCGCTGTCGACGGGACCAAGATGGTGAATTTCGAGCGCAACGTTCTTGATTTTTGGTGCGTCCCTTTTTCATGCCATTCGCTTTGCTCTCTTTTTCTTTGCGTTTCAGTTCTTTCTTTCTTCCATAATTGCTAACTCGCAGCTCTTCAGGCGACCGCACAAAGCTCGAGGATTCATTCATTCTGGCCTAAGGGTGCTATTGGCGATGAAAAGAGCATCCCCATACGAACCTTCAGCTTCCCGTCACTCGCATATTTCCGCGTCACCACCCTGTTCGAACCACTCCCGACTCAGATACCGTGCGCAAGGACAGCAAAGGCCAACCGCGTTCATTCGTTGTCGCCAAGTACGGGACAGCAAGAACGAATCTGACGTTGGGGTCGCTGTTCAGGGTCTACTGATGGCCTACTACACCTGCAACAGCCTCGGTGTCGAGGTCGCCGTTTTTAATTACAGCAGGGACGTCTGGTGGGTTTCAGCAATCACGCAGCGACTCTGGCTCGATCATTTGTTACTGGGAGTGGTGAGGCGGTCGCTTTGCTGCACTCGGGCATGTCAGTGTATGATGGACACACCTATGTCATGTTTGACACGCCTATCTCCTATGTGGTTGAGCGTATCCGTGACAAGTACCCGTTTTCTGATTTCTGTGGCATTGAGATTGATTGAACATCGAACACGTCCATGTTCCCTCCTTGTCCCTTCCCCACTGTCTTCTCTTCTCTTCGTTTAGTTTTTTGTTTAGTTTTTTGTTCCTGCCTCGTCTGTCGTCTTTCCTTTGTCCTTGTTTGTACATTTCTCGTTTGCTACCTTGACTTCGTCTCTGCTGGGCGGCTGTCTGTGATCGTGTAATGACTCTCAGTGAGGTTTTCTTGTACCGATTATCTTGTAGTTCTTTCATATCACTGTGTCGCTGTATTCAATTAACTGTAGAGCACCTACATATGTACATTTGTTTGCTCATTCTTTTTTTTTCACACCGCACAACAGTGTGGATACTTGTACATGCAGTGTAAGTGGATTTAGCCAGGTGTCTCCGCAGCGATTCCCCCTTTGTGAATGAGTGTCGACTCGTGCTTCCGTTTCGTCGATTGCTGAACGCTGATGCTCGAATATCGGTGCTTATTGCAGCACGATCTCAACTCTTGCTCCTGAAGACGTTGACGGACATCGACTTGTGGCCAATTGAATCCTCATTTCTTTGCTGCGAGAAAGATGGACTTGTGCTGAACGTGGACTTGGCCCGGGGGCGGATTCGGACAAGTATGCGAGGAGACTGAAAAACTGACGAGATCTGGAACAACTGACGAGATCTGGAACAACTGACGAGATCTGGAATTAGAAGATGCCAGGGACTTTGTGTCGTGAAATCCATTGCATGTGGACTGGACGCCCATGGTGACAGTTACAGTGCATGGGGGTCAAATAGTGCATGGGGCATAGATTTACGCATTGCCAAACTAGAAGAAAAAAACTCAAAACTCAAAAATCGAGACAAAAGCGTCGACGAAGTGTACATAGTATCGTTTGGACACCGAATCCACGGCGTCGCACCTCTCCCGCCACTCGATCGATGTGTCACTCACGGCATCTCGATGTCCTCATTTCCGACCCTCGATCCACCACAAAGCTTCTCGCGGACAAGCTTTCGAATTCCCCTCCCAATTTCTCCTCCCCCTCTCTCCCTCTCTGCGTTTGTCTGCGCCTCCTGAGACTTGTACTCGTCTTCGAAAGCCACCCAAAGGTAGGAGCGTGTGGTACTTGTGCATGTTCATCAAGCGGTGGAGAGTCGACAACGGGATTCCCCATACATATTCCTCATCGCGCTTTATTTTAACGTATAGTATCGCGGCATAGCAAATACAAAAGCACGAACTCTTGAGTCCATAAAGCGACAAAAGCAAAAAAAAAAAAAAAAGATAACCCCACCCATGGCTTGCGCGCACCACGCCGCTCGACCCGTCTCTCACACCATCACGTTATCCTCGCCTTCGGCCCTTTCGTGACCGCAAAGCTTCTCAAGGACCTTTCGGAGACCATTCCTGAATCCTCCTTC